ATTGCATGTATGATAACGAAATCCCTGCGATGGGCTCTTCTCTTCAAGGGTTTGGGTTTTAACAGATCACTGTGGTTGCTGCTGCTGCGCCCGAACAAGGCAAAGAACATTCCATGGAGCTTCCGCGGAAGCGAATCATCAACGGAGCAGAAAAAGAGAAAAAAAATAACCTGGCCGAAAGGAAAGGAAAGGCGCCGGTGTTTGCTAGCTAGCTAGCTATCACAGCAGAGTCGTTAGCTAGAGAATGAAGTTCGAGGGAATATCCTAGTAAGCGGTAATATCAACTGACAACGCATAAAACAACAACAAGGGAAGGAAAGGATGTCTGTAGAGGAGGGCGCGGTAAATAATGGTCCCGTTTATTAGGCGAAAGCGGGTGAAACAATTTTCATGAGGCTCTTTGGAATTGCGGGACTCCTGGGCGGTATCTTAGTAGTCCAACCCTACATAGATTCACGAGCGGGAAGGGCCTTTGTGTGTGTCCGATATAGGACCCTTATGACCTCATAGGACCCTACAAGCTTTTGCTTATTTCTTCCCTCTTTTTCAAAATTCTCAAACCTTAAGGCACATGACCTAGCTTGAAGTTTCAACAACACCTGAGCTTCAAACATAGAATATCCTTCACTCCCACTCGCGCTGCCAGCGGAGTTCCCGTCAAAGGACGCGAAAATCAGGCCATTATAAGTATCGTATATACTCGAGTAGACTTGCCAGACCCAGCTCTTCGGGAGCACTTCATTGACAAGAATACAATCACGGGCGGCGAGGGCTAGAGACGTCCGCCTCCTGAGAGTTTTGGAAATATGGACCAGAGAGATACAATTGCAAGCAGTTGCGAGCGGTTGTCCCTTTCGTCTCTTCCCGGGAGATTCGAGTTAGCGCCCATCAGCACTCCGTGATCGCTCGGCATATCAGTAGTAGAGTTGAGGAGGGAGGTACATTGACCCAATCCGGAGGTCTTACTTTGCAATTGGGGGACTAGTGACTCTGCGAGTCGTAAGTAGACCAGAATAGACACAATTCCCCCACACTCACTGAGGAGGACTTGCATAAGATCCGAGGTAAGGGAGCCTTCCCAAAACACCCAAAAGACAAAAGAACCTTTGTAAGGCCTCATGCTCAACGCGTAGGTATTATCGGAACTTGAATCTCATCAAACAGATTGTTGGCCATTGCACACATACATACATCCGCCCGTACTTACTCCTGTGGCTTTCCACTTCTGCGCATGCCTCATCGTGGGGGAATTCCGTCAGAAGATGGGGGTCCCATTATTTTCCAATCCAGGTATCTCAGGTAGTGGGCCGCAAGATACTAGTATCTTCCTGACGTTTTTGAACTGGGCCATTATTGCATACACCCAAAATCATGAGCTTGGCGTATTTTTGTATGGCATGAAATATCAGTCGCGTCCACAAACGTCAGGAAAATACGAGTAGGCAGAAGTCCGCAGAAAGCAGTACCTACATATTTGACACCGAACGGTCACTTGCCCCCAGGAACTTCCCTTCAGGAATAAGGACCCGATATGTCCAGGCAATTGGACAAACCGCGAAAAAGGGGTTGGTAATAACTTGGAAGGACCAGTACCTACGCTCCTTTACTCTGTATCTAGAGTAGTCAAGAAGCTAAAGTACTCTGCGTATGCAAAGCGTATGTAGAGTAAAGTATGTAGCTCTTCTATCTTCTAGACTCATAATTTGACGATGAGCGGCAACTGATCGATGGCACTTTGTCTCTTTTGTGTTGCATTTGCCTTGTAAAGAATAGGATCGAGTTGTCAGTTTGCTACCTGTAGAGTATCTATGGTTAGGTGGACCAAAGTTAGTACGGGAGAGGGAGTCCAGGCAAATGCTTGTCGCTCTCAGACCCTCAACCCGACAGAGTGGTTCTGAAAACCATCACGAAACGTCACGCCGCCTCGAACCCGCCCAGACGGTACATAGGATAGTAGAAAATACTAAATAGTTCCTCAGGCGCTGTCATGTTTTTTTTCTCCCCGCTGGTGACGAAATCTGTGACTTGTGTGTATTACCAGGCACTCCCGTTTCTTGATATCTTGATTTTTGACCTTGTTTCATTTTTTTCTCCCTCAAATATCCTGATGCAATTCGTTGGCCATTGCTGCACATTTCCCCCCAGCCTTACCCCTCTCCACGTACATCAGAATCAGGCTGCGGGGACTGTTGAAATATCGAACACCCCCCCCCCCCCCCCCCCCCATTTTTTTTTTTTCCTCTTGTATTTTTCTTATTTATAACTAATTTCTTCGTCCTCCCGCGTTGTGTGTGTGTTCAGAATACTGCTAGATATTATCATTACCACACGGTCAAGGCCGCCGTCTAATTTCTATCTTGTTATTCGGCCTACTATCACCAAGAAAGGGCTTTCCTTGAGAAGCGTAACTGATTCGAACTCAAGGGCATCCCATTCCCTGGATTACGAGTGAGAGCCGGGCGAAAGGCCACTTTGGCATCCAATTCCCAAATCACATATTCTACCCGGGTGCTTGCTGCATCATCTCATCCAAAGTGATACCCGTAGAGAGAAATCTAATTCCAGATTTATACCGAGAAAATCAACAAATCAGAGTCAACTAACTTGTCGTCACTGAGGTCCTGGCCCATCCCGGATAATTTATCGTTTTTTCTCTTTCTCCCTAACGTGTGGACGCCCCGCACGGGCCTTTGCATTGATCCATCAGATAATCGGGAAGCCTGAATAATACTGTATCCACCTCTCAAAAACAATACTATCAGATTCTGCAGAACGAGAGAGAACATACATATAGCTCTCATCCATAGTGCTACACACCGGAATTCCAGTAGAACCATCCGAAGCATCGTTCCTCGTCTTCTTCTTTGCTTCTCCGGGGATTCCTGGCTGCTATCCGACTAGACAGTGAGCAGGCAGGGTCCTTGGCGCATTTGTTAGACGTTCTTATTCGTGAGTGACATGGTGACAACGAATCAGCACCATACCCGATCCCCTGCCCGATTAGTTGGCCCCTCACTTTTCTTCCAATTTTTTCCCACTTGGTCATCCTGCTGGTGCTGAAAGGGCTTGCAGATGGGAGGAAAAATATGCATTCCATCTGCCAGAGACTCAATTGGTGCTCGATTAATGCTAGGAGGGAATGCCGTGGAAGCTGATCAGACTTCATTGCAGGGCATCTACTACTATTCTCGAACTGTGTATTAGCGGCACCTTTCTCATCTCAAGTCTCAAGTCACAACAAGCATACCTAGAGCTTCCACACGGGGGTAAATAAAGTGCATAAGCTGTACGTATCTTTCTCAATTTTTTTTTTTGTTTCCCCACCCCCCTTTCACCAGAAATCTTACCCTCCTCATCACCTCTGCAACTCCCCCTCCAGTTGAAACACTGCCCACTATCTCCGCCGTGCCCTCCCGAAAACCAATCGCTGGAGCGGACAAACGTACTACTCATCTGCTTTATATGAGCTTATTTGGCTCACTTCCCTCCACAGTTGAAACCTTCCTCCACAGCGTCACCCGTCTTCTGAATCTGTCCCACAAGTATTCGAGTGTCTTTTTTAGTCGCTCTTTTTTGCCTGGGCTATATCACTTTGTTGTTGTTCCCCGCCTCCTCGTTTAACAGCGCCAAAATTTCCTCCCACCGGTAAGGCGTCGCTTGAGTGGAAGGAACCCTGTACGAAACGTTCCCCCCGAATTCGATCTCTCAACCTCAAACAGACTTCGCGTCGGAGAATTCACGTCCTTCGTCATATAGATACCCGCCTGCGAGGCATATAGTTTGCCGCCATCTTCATTAATTGATAAGCTACCGCTGTCGCCCTCCATTCTTCTTTCGAAAGCTATCATCGTACGCTTTTCGGCAGCTAAATTATACTGGCTGTTGATTTTTCTATTCGATTTTTATTTTCCTGATAAAACAGCGGGGCGAACGCCCCTCTTACTTGGTCCGGGTCTGCCTGCTGGCTGTCTTGAATAGAAGCTTTGCATTCTTAATCTTATTCTTAAAAGTTTAGCGTTTGTTGTTTATTTATTTATCTTTTTTTATTGTTGGTTGTATTTTGATACCCCACGAGAACTGATTGCCGATAAACAATCACTATGCCGTAAGTAAACAAATCTTTTTGGAGCCCCTTGACAACAACAATCTGGTGCGCAGGGCGGATGCACTAGTAGGTCAGAAAGGAGGTACCTAAAATGATGATGATGATTTCATCACCATTTTCTGTGTCTCCAATTTCGAGGCTGTTATTTTGTATTTCATTGTAGCAAAGGGTTATCGCTCACAGGTTTTGCACTGTAGTATCAACATCACAATCGATCACACGTCGACGACCAACGGGTCTGAGTCGTCTCTGTCTGAGGAAGAGACTGGTAGCAGCGGTGTTGACTACAGTTACCAGCCGCCTCTAAACTATCACCCTTCTCAGTATTCATCTCACCGGTCCCATCATCCCGTCCACTCCCCACATCACTCCCAATTCCCTTCACACACCGAGTACTCGGACAATTCCTTCCCTGAAGATTGGGAGGATTTGCAGGGTGAAGAGCTCGGTCCGTCAGATTCAGCTTCACGCCCGCGCACAGCCAACAGCAGAGCAGGGGGGCCAGATACACCTACTCACTCCCGGCGAGAGACTACTAGAGCTCACCGCCGCCGTCAGGATAGCCCACCCGTCCAAGATATACTGCCACCCGCTCCCCAGTCAATTCACCCTCCACCCCCACCCCCTCAATCATCTCGCCACGGTTCACACCGTGGTCATCGTCATCGGCAGTCTGCCCCAACTGCGCCTCCGAGTACATCAGACAGTGACGAAGATATCAGATACGAACGTGGACCTCCCTCGGCTCCATTAAAGTCACAGCCCTACTGGGGATCACAAAATAGTAGTCCTTATAACCAACCAGCAGCGGCACCAGCGCCAGCACCAGGTAGTGGCTACGGCGGGTTTGGTGAACCTCGTGGCTATAACCAAAACCCTCTTGCGCTGGTTCCGACTAGTCCTCCGCCTCATCCTCACGCATTACCTGGTAGCAGCGGTGACCCTCGGGACCATATGAGAAGAGGAGGACCAAATCCTCTCGCTCCTTTTGATCATCAAGGATATCCACCGCACTCACAGTATCCAGGCCAACCTTCCCAGCATCCTGGCCAATACCCCCCACATCCACCACACGCATCTCACCCTGGGCATTCCGGATATCAATCTCCACATTATCCGGCTCAGTCACCACAATACCCACCACACTCGAGAGAATCATCAAAATATCCAGGGCAGTCACCTCACTACCCAGGACAGTCGCCTCATTACCCCGGCCACTCACCTTCATATCCAGGGCAGTCACCGCACCACCCGTCCCATTCTGGGCACAGTAGTCCAGGTAGCTCAATGACACCTTACAATTATGGGCAGCACCCTGGCAGCCCCACCTACCCCCCTCATCCACAGCATCCTCACCATCCTCATGACCCTCGACACCCGTACGATCCTAGGCACTCACAACATGATCCTCGAGACCCTAGACATGATCCTCGAGACCCTAGACTCGACCCCCGGCTTGATCCCCGGCTTGATCCTCGGGACCCTAGACATGATCCTCGACTCGATCCCCGGGATCTCAGACATGATCCGCGGGACCCTCGGCATCAACCTCATGATCCCCGACACCCTCAAAACCATATGTCTGGTCCGCTGAGTCCGAGAGGCGCACATCAAACCGACATGTACGGATACTATTCAGGATCTCCTTATAGCCCTTACGGCCCCTATGGCGGTGGATACTTCAGTGCTGGCGGCCATCCTCACCAAATGAATTCTATGACTTCTATGAATACTACTAACCAGATGATGATAATGGGGCCTCAGGGTTATCTTGTCCCGTATGCAGTCCCACGAACGGAAAGCCCGCCATCACCAGCTGAGCCAGAGAGACCTCGTGAGAAAACTGAGGAGGAAAAGCGCGAGGAAGAACGTTGGGCAAGGCTTCAAGAAGAGAAGAAATTGAGGGAGGAAATGATCGAACAGGAAAGGAAGTGGCATCAAGAGAAGATAGACCGCCAGAAAAAGGAGGAAGAGGAGGCGGCGGCCAAGGCTGCTGCTAAGGTCGCTGCTGAAGAAGCCAGGGTCGCTGCTGAGAAGGCTAGGATCGAGGCAGAAGAAGCTGCAGAGGTTGCTAGAAAGGCAGAGGAGGAGGCAAAAGCAAAGGCAGAGGCAGAGGCCGCTGCGGCTGAGAGAGCTCTTGCGGAGAAACTAGAACAAGCCACCGCTGCGGCGGCGGCGGCAGCAGCAGCAGAAGCGACCAGGGTAGCGGAAGAAAAGGCTGCTGCAGCTGCTGCAGATCTTGCGGAAAAGCTGGAACAGGCTACTAAGGCGAAGGCTCGAGTGAAGCCCAAGCCAGTCAAGTTCCGCGATGCTGTTGGGAGGAAATTCTCGTTCCCATTTGAGCTTTGCAAAAAGTGGAGTGTAAGTATCTCGCTCTGAGAAGCTTTGTGGCACAATTTGCTAACTCGCTCTTTAGGGTATGGAAGAGCTTATTAAACAAGCATTTCTTCACGTCGAGGTCATTGGACAGCATGTCATTGACGGCCACTATGATCTTCATGGACCTGATGGTGAAATCATTCTACCACAGGTTTGGGATTCGGTGATCGAGCCTGACTGGAGCATCACTATGCACATGTGGCCAATGCCCGAGCCTGAACCCGAACCAGCTCCACCACCACCTCCGCCCGCTCCCGAACCTGTGGTTGAGGAGCCACCCCCACCACCACCTCCTCCACCAGCGCCGGAGCCGGAGCCAGCCCCAGCCCCAGCCCCAGCCCCAGCCCCAGCTCCCGAGCCAGCGCCACCAACCCCTCCGCCTCCCCCACCACCAGCACCAGCACCGGCTCCGCCGCCTGCCCATGTTGAGGTCGTGGTTCTTGAGCGACCCGTGGTGGATATTGTTTCAGCTGAACCGGAGCCGGCGCCATCCCCACCACCACCACCGCCTCCGCCACCCCCTCCCGTCAATGTTGTAATCCAAACTCGCACTGAAACAGTTACAGAGAGGGTCAGATCAAAACCGGCGAATATCCCGCCCCTTCTTATGTGGACTGCAGGTCGTTATGGATCCAAGAAGGGGAGAAGGTGATAGATCTCCCACCCCCCGGGGACGAGAAATACGATTGTAAGATAATGAGATATGGTATGATACGAACTGAGCGAAGAGGAATAACTTGGTAAACAAGGAAAGGGAGTTCGGTTTTATTGATTTTTTGTTTTTAAATTTCCATTTTTCACTCATTTCTTATCTTGTCCTGTACTGTATGCATATCAAAGAGGTGTCATTTTTCTCGGAAAAGATCAGGCATCAGCGTCGGCGCGAATGGTTGGAAAAAAAGACTCGGGTTTCTATTCTGTTTTTCTTAACCGTTAAATACCTATCGCATTACTTTTTTTTTCCATTTGTTTAGTTTTTCTTATCATTTGTTCTTTACTGCAAAAGAGGTAGCAACAGATTTAAATAGTGATTAATAATGGAGTTATCAGAAAAGAACCATCTTCCTTTTAACATCGGGGGCGGTAGTCATGGGTCATCACTCGGCATAAATGTCTTGGCTCTGCTCTAGCCTACATGTAGGTATTCGCCAACTGTGCTTAGCCGTCAACCGTCCCGTAACATTGTAGGTTGCCAAACTCACGGACGCCTCTGATCAGCCTAGAGATTCCGGAAATAATAGCATGAAAATGAATCGAAATAGTCCTTATCCATTTTTATCATTAGCTGGAAAGATACGAACAATGGGTAGTTTAGTGACCACAGCCACTGTCTCTCTAGGTAGCCATAAGTCAGAACATAATTCCAGAGACATATTAAACTCGTCAAATTATTGCTAACCAGAATTTTCTGTGAGGAAGGTAACTAATACAGATGTAAAATATGGTATCTGGGGGTGTTTGGTTAAATAAACTTGTCAGCTTTCGAAATGTTAAAATGTTGATAAATAGGCTGTGACATTCATCCGAAATTGAGGTACGCACGGTTGGCAACTGGGCTAGAGGAGTCCCGATAATTCTTAAAAGAAGAAAGATGCCCAGGGATGGAGGCTATGGGGATACATAAGTAACGAATGCAGCTTTGAAAAGACGGTGGAACTATCTTGGCCCTGAACATTAGATTCTAGACAACAAATAAGCTTTGACGAGGTTTCGGAACCTGCACTCAACTTGAGCCAGCTCATCGCGAGTACACTGTATGACCACTGCTGTACTTGAAGATTCTAAAATTAGGATGAGAAACCAGGTTAGGGGTGGAGATCGGGATGCTCCAACTGGAGAAAGGTTCTGACTTTTGAATAAATAGAACACCCCACGCCGCTGCTATTCGAAGAAGGGTGTTTTGTTACGATGCAGAGTAAATCTTGAGTGAGATGGATGAGATAGGGCTGGATAAAGTAAGGTTAATGGCACTGAAGCGAAATGAAATAGCAACGGTGTTCTCAGTGGTAAGTAGTTGGGCGTGCAAATGCTTCTACTTAGTACTTACATACGTGTACGTATATATACAGATAGATATATCAAACCTTTATCACCCAACAATTAGTTCATGTACACATACCTATATGTATGCACCCTGGTGCATCAAATAGAAAGGCACAAAACGTTGAAAACGTACACCAAGGACCCTATTTCCTATAGGCTTTGCGTTGCGCACAACTCCAAATGGCAAAGACCATTACAACCATTCTGATCAGATTTCGCGCGTCCTCGAAACTCTCGAATAGCTACCAAGGTTTGTGGCCTCTATGCACGACCGAGCTGTTTCGAAACATGGTTTTTAGACGTATGTTTGCTAACTAATGGTTGGCGGAAGCTGTGAGGAAGGCAGAAAATGTTTGGCTCAAGCTCGTCCTGTATCCCTTAACTACGTGTAAGTAACTGCCCAGCTGGTTGGTCTTGGCATAGTTACTCCTTTGGGATGCTGAAGAATTGAGAGCCCTAACAGACGTGGTTAGCGTAGATACTAACTGTGCGCCAATGCCCCGCCAAAGAATCTCACCAAGTCGAGAAAACTTCGCCCGCTATTTCACTACATTACATTGGAATTTCGGATACTCCTTGACAACGGCCATACTCCTAGGTATCATCCGAATGTAAAGAAAATGCTTCAGGTATTATCAAACATCATTTAGTCCCCCGATCTCCTAGCTGCTTAGTCGGCGCGGCGTCCTTCGGACCTGCGTATAAATGATATGTATATCGTCGAAAATTCTTTCTTTCAAGAAGGGCTCTCGTCGTGTGATGTACCGCTGTCGAACCAAAGATAATTGTTATCATTGGCCTGTTTAGGCCCCGATCCATAAAATGGAGCATTACAAGTCTAAAGTCTCACTAGAGAATATACACATTATCTGTTCAGAATGAGACCGCGAGACAGAAATACTCAAGCTTGGCTGCGTCGTGTAGTTCCAGCTCATGAACCTGGAAGACTAATGTATTATTAATTAAATATTAATCACATGAACCTCTGCTTACAATAAATGAATTAACAGCATGGGCCTGGAAAGGGGACAGGACTACGAGTGATGGCCTATGATTGAGACATCTGATCTACAGCCCATAATCATAAAAACGTAGAGATGGCGAGAGGGAGGGGATGGCAATGTTTAGCAGTTTTTAACAACAATTGATGGCGCTTGGGTTTTATTTGGAGTCTGGTTTTAAGAGCTAGAGCCAATCCTCGTGATCCTGGTTCCACTGCTAGCTGTATAAGCTTATCTCTACAGAAGCCTATCACAAGCTATGGTGATTCTAAATTCGGGAAACATAAGTTTGTTGCCTTTGTCCTAATATGTCAATCTAAGTACATACAAGCTCACCCCCAAAACCCAGGAAAGAAAAAAGATGATATGCAACGCCTCAAAACCTAGACTATGATTATACTTCAACACCAGCCTCGGCACCGGTCTCATCCTTCTTGACCTTCTTCTTCTTCTTTTTCGTTCCTTCATCGGCCCCACCTTTAGACCCTCCCTCAGCCCCCCCCTCAACTTCGGTGGCTTTCTTTTTCTTTTTCTTTTCTGTGCCTTCTTTTTCTTTTCCCTTGTCCTTCTTGACCTTCTTGACCTTTTTTTCGCCACCTTCTTTCACCTTTTTCACCTTCACCTTGGGAATCTCGAGACTATTACGGGCTTTGACCCGCTCTGTTGCCAGCTCCATCTCTTTCCTATATTTCTCCACCTGCTCTCTTGCAGCTTTAACGGCCTCTTCTTCCTTCTTCTTCTCTTCTCCCTCCCCATCACCATCAAGAGAATACCCCATTAAACCACTTGAATCAACTTGAAGAAGCCCCTTGCGTCCCCTACCCTTCTTCTTTGCCGCTTCCACCTCATCGACAAAGTCCTCACCATCGTCACCGGCTATGCCCTCGTCGGCCGCAATAGCAACCCTCTCACGTCTTCTCTTGGTCTGAGCTTTCTGGTGGGAAGTGGCTGGCGGTACATCCCCAAGATCGAGCTTCATAACGGGGATGCTATCAAGATCAATCTCCTCACCCTCCCCTACGACTGAAGCACCGATGTAAAATGGATCATCTTTGTTTCGTTCCTTTCGGTCCCGTTTTCGACGTTCCAGGATGTCCGCATCTAGGTAGTCCTCTTCTTTCATGGCGCCTTGATAGCTTCCCCCGCCGTTACCACTGCTGTTGCCGAACGCCTTTGCAGATGCGCTATCGACGCCTAGAGAAGCAGGGGTGTTTGAAGCCTTTGGTACCGGCTTCTGGTAGTACCATTCCCTAAACCCATCGTCTTCCTCGTCTGTTCCTAATGTGCTATCTGTATATTCCGCTTCCCGTAGTAGCTGTTGCAGGTTTGCGTTGATAGGTTCATCTAGATCAAGTCCTTCCGGTAATGGTACTTTTCGTTGTGCGCGTGGGGCAACAGGGTTGAGTTCCTGTCCTATAAACATGGCTGGTATCGCCTGTGTGAGGATTAATGGGGGGTCATATTCTTCTTCTGCGTCTGGCATCGACGCGGGTGTTGAGGCGATAGCTTCAGATGCAAGGCGGAAAAGTTCTAGGAATTCGACGGCGCGCTCTTGTACTTCAAGATTTGGGGAGATGGCCAGTGGCTCGAAGAAAGTGATAACACGTGTGGTAAGGAGTGTAACTGTGGATTTACGAGCAGGAGTCCACGGTGTATTCTCAGAACCGGTTATGGCGGCGTAGACTTTTGGGATTGCCTGAATATAAATTGCTAATATATCAGGCGGTAGGAGCGGGGATGAGGAATGAAGAAGTGAATTTAGCGCTTCTTGGGAATCAGTCAATAGACTAAGTTCAACTGTCAGTAACTTATCTATAGAGGGCATGAAGGAGGTCCTGTTACCTTGAAAACTCTCCGGCGATCCATGCAGCCGCTCCAAGGACTCTCTTTCCTCCACCGCCAGCAGCGGGAAACATGCCATCATGCCTCCCTATAAGCATCTCTGCATATCTAACAGCTTCTGCCCTAACGCTTCGAACCCTGATTGCCACATTCCTCAGCTCTCTCCCAATTTCTTCCCCTACATCCTTCTCTTTCTCGGCCTCTGTATCGTCTTCGTCCTCGTCGAAATCTTCCGAGTCGTCCTGTAGCTCTCCATCGGCCAACGAAGAAACCGGCGGTGCGTATCTAACTAACTGCACAAGTACATCCAAGTACCACTCAAAATCGCCCACATTTACATACAAATCTCTCGAGCACATTTCTATTATCCTCTTTATAACTGTCCTCTTGTATGCCTCTGGCAGCTCTAGCAAAACTAGCTGACCTTTCCGCTTTCCGCCACGCATGACATCCTCCTCCATATCCTCCTCTTCACTCTCACCAGCAGCTCCTTCAAGCTCCACATACTCCTCCTCTCCTCTGTTAGCAGCTGGCTTTAGCTGCCTAATGAGGCGCCCAACAACTTCCGGTAAACTGTCGGAGTTAACCATTCCAACAACCAATTCAAGCGCTCTGTAGCGGATACTGATATCCGTATCATCTATACAATCCAGTATAACATCTTGGTGTTCCGCGACAAGATGCGCATGTGTAGTGACTAGCTTAGTTAATGCTAGGAGCCCGACATATTTTAGATTACTGTCTCCTATAACTAAGAACCCGCGAA